TACATAATCCAAGTCTGTGGATTCTCTGAATTATGCATAAGCCTGATAAAATTCTGAGCATTACCAGCTGTTCTTACTCTATGTATATCTGCCTTTTGGGCATTGGTCCAGCCTAATAGTCTTGCAGCCACATTGATAGAGTTTAAAAACTTTGTACATCCTCATCTGGTCTACCATAAAATACTTGTATGGCTGAGGTTAGATTAGTAGCACCTCTCTGTATTGGGACTACTGGCTGTTTGGGTTCTTCATTATCATAATCAGCTCCAGTTCGACTATCATGGGCAGATCCTTTCTCTGCTTTAGGTCTAAGGCATGCACCCTATTTGGCAGTAGCATCAGCACCAGCTGTAGGCATTGTAACTTCTTATATCTATGCCTATTTAAATTATACGACTTATAATTATCTATTACTAACTCCTCTATACTAACCTATTATTAAACTTACACTTTGTTTCTTTACTTTGCTTAACATGTTGTTGGTTTCCCAAAATCTTGAACTTGTCGACTGCACCAACTGTAACAAACTACTCTATCATGGGAAGGAGAGAGCATGGTTTGGATGACAAGACAGCAATTGCAATTGATTTATTTTAAAAAACCAGGGTATGTTGTCGTGAGTGGATACACAAGTCAGCCGACTCGATGATATTTACAAGTAAAGCAGGGAATAAATTATACTAAAGTCCAATTCTATAACAAAACATATACACTTTATTAACACTTATTTACATAAAGATATGAAGGCTTATAATGAATGAAAAACAATAACACAGATTACATAAAAGTTTACACTTTCAGTTTCAGTAACTTATATTAGATTCATAATGTTTCTAACCCTATCAACATTACTTAATTAACTTTAATGACTTTTGCATTATACCTCATATTTTCACCTGGCAATATTATTAGTTAAAGGAGAGTAGCAATTAAAACTTAGGTAAAGTTAGTGTTGTGCAAGTCTTGCACATATAGATAAACTGCCATTTTCTGTCTGTATATCTCGGGAACTTAAATAAAAGAACTGGAGCAACTAGAATGCCTGGAACCCTCTGGAGCAATCTGGAGGCTGAACAACTCTGCTGTCAGGGACAACCACACTTTTGGTCTAGAGACATCAATTTTTATATGGTTTGGCAGCATAATCCATTCAAATTCATAGGTGTAGACTTCGAGGTTACTGGTCCACCGATTAGAGTAGACTCATCTTCCCTTAGAAAGTGTTGCTCAGTGACCAAGGACTTGACATCAAATAACATAAAAGGTTACCTGTGTATACAGTTTCTCATCTTTAAAGTCTGTCTTGAATAAACATCATCTTCCAACTAAGTGGTATCAGATTACATTTCACAAACCTGAACACAATTGATTAAACTTACGTATATGTCTAGTTAGAATCACTTAACATGAAAATCCTCTCCATTATCAATTATATGCAGACAATATTAGTTGCTCTTGACAGGTGTGTTCAACATTTGTCTTTCTTTAGCTTTCACAACCATTATTATGCAACATGTCCCAAGTCCATAGTTTAGCTTGATTGAAGCATGTGTGTATTGTAAAGTGGCAGTTCAGCTCGTGCAAAAGAATGCTGAAACGTTTGTTTGATATTTCATACCATGACCATAAGCTCAAAGACTGTAGTTAGACCGTGAGAAATTATAGTTGAAGTATTTGGTTATTTTAGGGTGCTTCACTATACATTATTTTATAGTAACAAGAGATACTGTGATTATCACTAGTGTTATTTAAATGTTGTGGTTGAGGAAAGTCAATTACTGTAAATTTTTATATATTTAACCACTTTTATGATTAATTGCCTTGTATACAGTTTTGTTTCTGTAGACACACTGTATAAATAAAACAGCTCCATTTATGACCTTTTGGTGTACAGCTTCACTTGATCAGTATTGTAAGGAGGAAAGCGAGAGTTGAACTGGAAACATATTCACTGTACATTATACCATGCTTTGACATTCTAGGATGAAAGTCAGATTCAAATTCTCATTGAGCAGACTTGTGTTTGACTATATTTATGTATGTAATATGAACATTATTTAAACAATCCAGTAAATATTTACATGAAAAGGAAGGTTGAAAATAAGAAACCAAACTATTTGTGAATGTATGTTCTGTTTGTTTGTTCCCAATACCACTCTACAAATATCAAAATAGGTTTATTAGGACTAACTTTTCATCCAGAATGTCATGAACACATTGGATTTCATTTTCGAGACCATCTGAGGTCGCAGGGAGACAAAATATGGCAAAAACTGGTGAAAATTATAGTCTTCATTGTCAAAAATTGGTGAAAACACTATGAAAATCAATTTCAAACATACGACATCTGCCCAAACACGTTCAGTTTGCATAACAGCTATTCATCACTTTGGTCAATTTCAGAATGCCAGAAATTTCTAGAATGTTCAGAGTCATCTCCAAACAAAATTTCTCTTCCACTGATTTCAGTTATTGTCACTACTGATTTCAAAATTTCTAGACTATTCTAGAGATCTCTCCATACTATTTGAATGAAGCATATCAGGCTATATAAGGCCTGCATTACATTTTTTCTTCAGATTTGTCGATATTAAACTCAAAGATCTCTCCATACTACTTGAATGTAGCAGTTCAAGGTACTGATTTCAAGACTTTTAGAAGATTCTAGAGATCTCTCCATACTACTTGAGTGTAGCAACTCAAGCTATATAAGACCTGCAATCAATTTTCTGTTTCAAATTTGATATTAAACTTCCAGCAGTGATTGTTCAATAAGTGCCACTGCTGTACACCAGTACTATACAAAACTCCACCTCAAGATGGGACCAAGGAAACTACTAAATATTGGCAGCTCTTCAAAAGCTCACAGAGTTTGAGAAACAAGGGATCAAGAGACAGGTGAGGAACATCAATCTTGTATCAGTGCACAAGTCTCCAGACAGGCACATATCAGGCAGCCGAAACAGAAGAGCAGTCCCATGCCCATCTCAGTTCTCAGGCCTCAAGACAAGCAAGGAGCAGGCTGCAGGAAACAGAAGAGCAGCATCAGGCCCACCTCAGTGCTGATGCTACCAGACATGCAAGGGGCAGGTTACAGGAAACAGAAGAGCAGCATCAGGTTCGCCTGAGTGCTCATGCCCTCAGACAAGCAAGGAGCAGACTACAGGGAACAGAAGAACAGCATCAGGCTCACCTCACTGCTGATGCCACCAGGCATTCACAAACCAGATAACAAAACTCCAAGTAATGCACACAAGAACTGCCAGGCAAATGGAATCACTATTTACTGTGGCCAATATGCTAAATGCTGCATTCAATTACTCAGCTGACATTGACTATTATTCTATAAATGCAGTCAAAATTGGTTCCATGTCAGAACTATGCCAACATTGTGGAGCGAAGAAGTGGAAACGTGAAACACCATCAATGTGTTGTTCTAATGGTAAAGTAAGCTTACCTCTACTAGCTGAGCCACCACAACCATTGAAAATGCTGCTCCTAGGTGACACACCAGATTCAAAACATTTCCTAAAGGTGATCAAAGACTACAACTCAGCATTTCAAATGATATCTTTTGGAGCCAACATCGTCCCGAATGGGGGATTTATGCCAACATTTAAAATACAGGGACAAATCTACTATCGCATTGGATCACTCCAACCTCATGCAGACGAGCATCCACAGTTTCTACAACTCTATTTTGTGGGAAATATGCAAAAACAAGCAGAATATCGTTACAACTACATGAAGGGTACCAGACTTTTTATCATACTGCAACTCCAAAAGATGATCCATACCACTAACAATTACGTACAAAGCTTTAAATATGCACTTGAAAGTGCTCCTACTTTGACAGCCAAATAGTAATCAATGCTGATAAACGACCATATGGAGAACATCGTGGTCAATTCAATGAGCCAACTTGCAATGAGGTTGCCTTGGTCATGAATGGCCAGGGACATGAAAAGAGATATTGTCTTCGAGATAACACTATAAAGAGGATAAATGAGACACATAGATCTTATGATGCGCTTCAGTATCCACTTATCTGTGTGCAGGGAGAAGATGGATAACTCTTAGAAATTCCGCAAGCTCAGGGAACAAAAACTGTGTCATACATGGGTTTCTATGCCTGCAAT